CATAGGTGTGAAAAATGAGTTAGGGAGAGATCACAGAAAGGTTGCTTATGGCATGCCAGGGACTACTGGGATTGTCCACTGCCCGTGTAGCAAAATGCCCATGAAAAATCCTTGTAACAATCCAAGAGTTCAGGGCCATGCTGAGGGCCCTGAAGGTTCGTTCCTGTGACCAGCCAGCACTACCACCACAGGGACTACCAAGAGAGGCCACCTAGCCTCTAAGGACTCCTAGACACTCAGGGGTCCCAGCTGTTAGCTGCATGACTCTAGGCTGATCTACCTTTAACACATTGTATCAAATATAGAATTTGATTGAAAAACTGCTTGTAAAAATAAAATTTAAATCACCCTGTAGATCAATGCAAAAGCATACCACACCGATACATCTATAAGAAAAACAATTCATCCAGAAAAACTACATCTGTGGCTTCCAAAAATAAAGCATCCACAAACCTGATTTCTTTTTGATAACGAAAATAGGGGTATTCCAAGGAGATGTGGAGAGTTCTATATGGCCAGCATTGAATTGCTCCTGCACAAGCTGCTGGGCTGCTTCTAATTTTTCTTTGACTAGAGGCTATTGCCCTACCCAGACAGGATCATCATTTATCCAGGTGATTTTATCTGCCGGGGTGGGGGTGGAGTGGGGTGGGGTACAGGGGAGGTAGTAACCATTACTGAAAATTTTGAGCAGGGGGGCTATAGCCAAGGCCCGCTCTATCATCGGGATCAGGCGAGCCGCTTCTTCGGCTCAAGCTGCCTGTCTAGTGCGTGGTTGCCCCTGTGCCGCAGGAAGAGGTCTAGCAGGGAGAGGCGGTTCAGCTCCCTACCCTTCAGGGTCAAAAAGAGGGAACTGGAGTTTACGTGATGCCGAGGAGAGGAGCTGAGAGCTTGAACGAGAGAGAGGAAGCAAGAGAATCAACAGTGGAGGAGTATTTGGGAGCAAAAGGTTGAGGAAGATCAGGGAGCTAGGAAGGATCGTAGGCAGAAGGTCTCGTGGCCAGAGAGACCTCACGCCCGAACCCGAAGGTATGCGGCAGCCTCTTCCTCTAGCTCCTGGGCGTCCCCAGGATCGAGAGGTTCCTCAGGAGGAGCAGAGGCGACAGCCCATAGGGAGGGGTAGATACAGGTGGCTAGAGATCGAACTTTAGGGGCAAATGAAGTAGGTTGATCAGAAGGAGAAGGAGGAAGCTTATCAAAGTCAGAGTTAGCAGAGGAAGAGGAACAATCTTTAGAAAGATCAGCGACAGAACTTGCCCTGGAGCTGCACTAGAACACCCTCAGGAAGCGACCTCTAGATGTTGTTGGGCATCTTTAAGAATTTGTTCATTTTGGGGGCTTTCCTCCGCGTAAACAATGATACTTTTTAAGAGATCCCAATACTGCTGCAAAATCTTTTTATCGCTTTCAGAGCCTTTGGTTTCGAAATAATTAGTTAATTCGGCCCCGACTTGTTCCCAAGTACTGCAAACTATTTTTGGACAGGTAATGACAAATCAGGGACAGACTTCATGTACAAAAAGCAAAAACTTAAGTAAATCTTTTTCTTAACCTCAATGTTTCTATCTCTTAATTCTTCCTGAATTCCTTTAATAAATATGGCTTCCTTATTTTTTTTAACCTCAGTGTATCTATCTCTTAATTCTTTCTGAATTCCTTTAATAAATCTAGCTTCTGTGCTGATACTAGTCCCCATTTTCGCGGGACGGATGGGACGGCGGTGTTAACCTAGGTCATTAGACTAACCCTACTCTGCGCCACCCGGATGGGGCTTACCTGACGCCTTATGAGTGGGCTCCGGACTCGTCGCGCCTCTGCCGTCCGATCGGTGGTCTGTAACTCGTGTCCCACGTGGGCGCCAGTTGCGACCCCCGGGAAGGGACCCCCGACCCGCGGGGGTGAGGTGATGAGGGTCGCTACTAATTTAGTGGGCCTTCACGAGCAGATCCGATCTGGAAAGTGAACTTCAAGAGGTTAATGGAAACAGGCTCAAGACAACGTTCGCTGATCAAGAGCCTTTATTTTTGGGGGCGCGCTGGAATTTATAGAGGAAGGACCTCAGGGGGTGGTACAAGCATGTCAATCAAGTCTCAATTCAAATATACACCAAATACGGTAAAGACAAAGCTGTAATTTTCCATCAGTCATTAGTTGCATTCCACAAATGCTTGTCAGCGTAAGTCAGGTGCAGGAATTAGGGAGGGGTAGGAAGTGTACAGCAGAACGCTATAATCTTGTTAACAAAGACAATTGCTCTGTAAGGGTATTTCCCCTGGCTAGGCGGGTGGGCTGCCCTGTGTAAATTTAACTTTAATGGTTAGCCTTTTCCTTTGTCTCAAGGGCATGTGTGCTCGCAGTCACGTAGGCGGAAGGCCAAGAAACGGTTGACAGACTCCATTTTGTTCAAGGTTCTAGCAGTCCCCAACACTGTATGTTTGGTGTCTTGATTGTTGTGTGGAGAGGGAACATTTTTTTGTGGTCCACTCTATTTGGTGTTCTGAAAGCTTCTTGTACCTTCATTGGCATGTCTTTCTTTAGATTGGGAAAGTTTCCTTCTGTGATTTTGTTGAATATGTTTTCTGCCCCTTTGAGGTGGGTTTCTTCACCTTCTTCTATACCTATTATTCTTAGGTTTTGTATTTTCACGGTGTCCCATATTTCCTGGATATTTTGTGTTAGGAATTATTTGTACTTAAGATTTTCTTTGGTTGATGAATCTATTTCTCCTATTATATCTTCAACACCAGAGATTCTCTCTTCCATCTCTTGTATTCTGTTGCTTATGCTTGCATCTGTTATACCTGACTGCCCATCTTTTCTATTTCCAGCATTCATTCAGACTGTGTTTTTTATTGTCTCTATTTTGCTTTCAACCCTTGTGCTGTTTGAATTGTTTCTTGCAATTTTTTTCTTTGTCTTTTCATCCATTTCTTTCATTTTTTCATTTTCTGGTTTGTTTTTTCTTCTGTCTCTTTAAGGGATTTTCTCATATGCTCTTTGAGGGCCTCTATCATTTTCATGAAATTGTATTTAAGGTCTTTCTCTTCTGCTTCATTTGCATTGGAATGTTCGAGTCTTGCTGGTATAGAGTTTCTAGACTGTGGCGGTGTCATATTTGTTTTACTGTTGCTAATTGTGTTTTTATATTGTCTCCTTCCCATCCCTTCTCCAGTGGATACAGAAAGAGCCTCTTCATTTCCTGATGGGTATGGGACCAATGTTTCTTTCCAGTGGGTGCAAACAAGTCCAATAATCTGGTCTTCTCTTCCTGCTCCTGTGAGTGGAGAAATTGACTAGGATGCTGGGGTGCCTTGGCACCTGCTGGGATGGCAATCTGCAGTGACAGTCCCCAGGCACAGGAAGGTGGTCTGGAAACAGGCCCCATTTTACCTGGTCCCATGGGTAGAGAAGGAGACTAGAATGCTGGGGTGCATTGGCTCCCACTGGGATGGGAGCCACAGTGACAGTCCAAGGTCAATTTTTTTAAATGAATAATTGAAACATAATTATTTTGGGACTTCATTAAAATGAGAAAAATCTATGAACTACAAGCATAGAAGGAGAAGAATTTCATATAAAAGTCGTGGAAAATATGTTTAATAAAGTCATAGAAAAAAATCTTCAAAATTTAGAGAAAGAACATCTCATCCAAATACAAGATGCACAAAGTACGCCAGTGGTTTAGGTGTACTTCTCTTGTCATATGATAGTTTAAACACTGAATGCACAGGGACAAAAGTATTTTCACTGATTTAAAAGGTAAGGAAGGACCAAGTCGCAAACAAATGCAACCTCATTAGAACTGCTGGCTTTCAAGTTACACTCTAAAAGCAAGAAGGGCTTGGATTGGTGTTTTCCCAGAGCTGAAAGATCACAATTTTTTAATATACCTGGCAAAACTATCTGCCATGATTGCAGAAAATACTTCCCATGATGAAAAGATGGTTAAGGGAATGTATGAGTACCAAGGCAGCCATACAGAGGATGCATGAATACTTCATTCTAAAGAGGAAAACAAATGCACACAAGCATCTAGACTGCAGAATGATAAATAAATAAGACACTTATTTTTAACAAAGGACTGAAAAGAGAATAGGTGACTATGTTACATGTACAATCCAAAATTTTGTTTGGGTATAAGGAAAAAATTAAATTATGCAATTGGAAGGTAAATTAATGGAGCTGGAAATAAGTGAGATAACATAGACCTGGAAAGACAAATGCCTCTTCAGATTTGTGTGTTTAACTTTTCATACGTGTAGAAATTAGAGAGAGGTCATTAGAGGGGAGAGAGAATAAAGATGTTAATTAGAACTTAGGGAAGATGAAGAAGAGAGGGTTGGGATTATTGAAAAGTACTTCTACGAGGAGAGACAGATGGAGGAAGAGGCAGAGAAGTAGATGGGGGAGGGATAAATAACACAAAGAATGTTTGAAAAAGCCTTGTGCAAGTAAGTAAATCTCCTACTTCAGAAGCCTCATATATATGCAATATATCATATACGCACATGCTTATATACTATACACGATATATAGACACACAAAAGAGTTTAACTGAGGTTAATAAACCTCCTCCCAGAAGCCATACATCATACATTGGCAAATAAAAAGCCAAGTGGCAGATATAAGATATCTGCCCTCAAGGTCTTCTTTAAGAGTGTCCTAGAAAACTAGAAAAATATAGATACTGTTGTCATTGTACTTTGTTGCCTGCCACAACTTGGTGGTAAGGTCCTGTACCAGAAGACACCACACACTTTGGTTACACAACATGGAGAAATCAAGTTGGCACTGACGAGGTAGCTTTCTCCCTGCTTGCTAACTTTCACAACCCTGTGATGTGTAATATAAGGCTGTTGTGGGAGAATGGTCATCAAAGGTCTTATTCAGTTCTGAGCAATTTGAGGTACAATAAGGCCCACAAGGCTAGATATACCCATTGGGAGCAATAATTGTATGCATTTTATGTGAGTAATTAAGTACATTGTGATTTGATTTAGGGCCTGCCTTACAGGAAAAAGCTAATGCCTATATTGTAAATCTGGCCAAGAAACCATACCTCGGGGACTCATGGGACCCAGGAGTGAACCTACTATTTCTAATCTGCTAAAGTACCATTATACTCCCCTCTAAATCATCATCTTTATAATCACAGGTTAGTGCCATCCTCATCAGAGACGCTTTGGACAGTGGCTAGTAGTTAACACAGAAACTCATAACGGACCAAAGAGCAGAGAATAAGGGTCTGTGAAGGGCTCATCCATAAATGGGTCCACCATTCTCTACAGGATGAGGGATCATCATGGTGGTGGGGATGTAAAGACTGCAGAGTGAGAGGTCAGGGAAGACTGCACTACTACACTCAGGAATTCACAATAGCTATGATTGCCTGCACAAGGTCTTCATAAGAGCGACCAATGAACATTCCCACATGATGGTGTGTGGGGAGGGACTAGAAGCACACACCAGTAGTTGAGGAGCTATTGACCATAGGTGGCTGCCAGGGTAGAGAACAATCAGGATCATTTTAATTGGGTAGCCCCCAGTATGTTGACGAGTCTCCAGTGGATGGTCCCTTGCATATCCATAAATACCTGAGCAGCAGAAACTTGACTTGGTGCATTATACAAAATAAATGAAAAGCAGAAGCAAGCAAAACAAGATACCAAGAACTTGGGGAGGGCTTGGGGAATGGAAGATGAATATACAAGGAATTAGGATAAATAGTGTGGAGTGAAAACAATAAAATACATTTCATACATTTATGTAACTCTCAAAGAATTAGCAGAAGTATTGGAAAAGGAAGGTTGAGTGGGGGTAGAATAGGGGGAGAAAAGGATGAGAAATACCAGAATAGAGGGAGTCATAGGTTTGAAGAGAGATCTGGCACCAGTGATACCTCTAGTGATCTACAAGGATGATACCAACTGGAAAGCTAAGCAATAGTGAAGAGACTACCTTAAATGCCCATCCCTGATAATGAACTTGACGTCTATCTTATATGCCATCCTAGAACCTTTATCCAGTGACCGATGGAAGCAGAGGCAAACACCCACAGCTAAACACTGAACTGAACCCATGGAACCCAGTAACAGAGAGAATAGTGATGAACAAATGAGCAAAGAATGGACTGGTGAAACCAGCAGAGACAGCTGACCTGAACAAGGGGGAGCTCTTGGACCCCAGACCGACAGCTGGGAGGCCAGCATGGGACTGATCCAGACCCTCTGAGTGTGAGAGTCAGTGAGGAGGCCTGGGAACCCTATGGGGCCCTGAGCAATAGATCAGTGTTTATCCCTGGAATACAAATGGACTCAGTGTGTCAATAAAACAAAGAGGGATGCTCTCTCAGCCTGGACTCTTGGGGGAGGGCCTGGAATCTGCCCTGAGCGAAATGACAAACTCTGGATATCCCCTATGTGGAAGGAAGTGGGGATAGGGTGGGAGGCTGGGGGGATGGTGGAGGAACTGGGATTGACATGCAAGGTAAGCTCTTTTCTTCAAAAAATGTAATAAAAAATCATGAAAGGGGAAAATGAACTAAAAGATAGGAAAGATTTGATGCATTCCACTTGTCATTCCACTAACAACAGTGCTCACTTCAGCCAATGTTTCCTTTGTTCTTATACAGCATCATGACTTCTAGAGTACTCATGATAAGCAAAATAAATGACTGTAAAGGTACTTACTAATACAAATAAACCAGTTTTAGATGATGATGATTGCCATTATTTAAAACAAGTCAGGGTAAATACCCACACACCCTCATCTAACCTTTAATGTTAATTTGAAATTTTATTGACAGCCAGGTAGTTCTTAGTAATTAGAGCACTGGCTGGGTTTGATTCAGTCATTCACTTGTTAGCTCCCAACCATCTGTAACACCTGTTCCAAAAGATCTGATTCCCTCTAGTGCCCTGCTTAGGGACTTGGACAAATGGGGCATGCAGGTATGCACACAGAGAAAGCACTCATACAAATACAATGAAATTAGAATAAAAACAAAAGGTTCAGAAGACCCGCCCACACAGGAAAGACATCAGGCCCTCCAAGACCCCAACCCAAGCGAGTCCAGCTTCAGCATCCCCAGCTTCAGCTGCAGGAAGGAAGGAGACCAGTGGAGACAGAAAGACCCCACCAGCACCCACTGGAAGAAGAGATGGGAAGAAGACAGAATAAGAGATCACTCAGCAATAGAAACACCAACATGACCCCACCAGAATCCAGGGATCCAACACCAGCAAGACCCAAAAAGCACTACATAGACAAAGAAGAGAAGACAGACCTTAAAATTATTTCATGAAGATGATGGAGACCCTCAAAGAAGAAACGAGGAAATCCCTTAAAGAAATAGAAGAAAAAACAAACAAAAAAATCCATGAAATGAGGGAAAAATTCAAGAAATAAAGAAATCTCTCAAAGAATCTAAAGAGCACCAAGAAAAAAACAACCAAAAAAATTAAGGAAACAGCTCAAACAGTAGAAGGATTGAAAGCTGAAGTAGAAACGATAAAGAAAACACAGAATGAAGGGATGCTGGAAACAGAAAAGCTCAGTAAACGATCTGGAACTACAGATGCAAGTTTCACCAATAGAATACAAGAGATAGAAAAGAGAATCTCAAGTGTTGAAGACTCATTAGAGGATATAGAGTCGTCAACCAAAGAAAATCTCAAAACCAACAAATCCTTAACACAAAATATCCAGGAAATATGGGACACCGTGAAGAAGCCAAACCTGAGAATAATAGGTATCGAAGAAGGTGAAGAAATTCAACTTAAAGGTACAGAAAACATATTCAACAAAATCATAGAAGAAAACTTCCCTAACCTAAAGAAAGATATGCCTATGAAAGTATAAGAATCTTACAGAACACCAAATAGGCTTGACCAGAAAAAGAAGTCACCTCGCCATATAATAATCAAAACATCAAACACACAGAGTAAAGAGAAAATATTAAGAGCAGCTAAAGAAAAAGGCCAAGTAACATACAAAGGCAGACCTATCCGAATTACACCTGACTTCTCAATGGAAACGATGAAAGCCAGAAGATCCTGGTCAGATGTCCTACAAACGCTAAGGGAACAAGAATGCCAGCCCAGACTACTATATCCAGCAAAGCTCTCAATTACCATAGATGGAGAAAACAAAATATTCCATGACAAAGCCAGATTTAAACAATACGTATCCATGAATCCAGCTCTACAGAAAATGCTAGAAGGAAAACCTAGAGCCAAGGAAGATAACTACATTCACAAAGACACAGGCAATATATAATCATACTTTACAAAACACCAAAAGAAAAAGGGAGGAGAAATTACACAAAATAACTTCACTAACAATAAATCAAGCGCAAACAAGGATCACCAATCAATGGTCATTAATATCCCTCAATGTCAACGGCCTCAACTTGCCTATAAAAAGACACAGACTAGCAGAATGGATACGAAGACAGAACCCTTCCTTCTGCTGCATACAAGAAACACATCTCAACATCAAAGACAGACGTTATCTCAGAGTAAAGTGCTGGGAAAAGATCTTCCAATCAAACGGCCCCAAGAAACAAGCGGGCATAGCAATCCTAATATCTAACAAATTAGACTTCAAATTAAAATCAATCAAAAGAGATGAAGAAGGGCACTTCATATTCATCAAAGGAAAAATACATCAAGACGAAGTCTCAATTTTAAACATCTACGCCCCAAATACAAAGGCACCTACATTCGTGAAAGAAACATTACTAAAGCTCAAAATGCACATAAAATCTCACAAACTAATAGTAGGAGACTTCAACACTCCGCTCTCACCGCTAGACAGGACCTTCAGACAGAAACTTAACAAAGAAACAAAAGAACAATGCACAATTGCACCATCCCTGGGTAAAGGAAGAAATAAAAATGAAATTAAAGACTTCCTCGATTTCAATGAGAATGAAGACACAACATACACAAACTTATGGGACACTTTGAAAGCAGTGCTGAGAGGAAAGTTTATAGCACTAAGTGCCCACATGAAAAAACTGGAGAACAGTCATACTAGAGAATTAATAACACAGCTGAATGTTCTAGAACAAAAAGAAGCAAACTCCCCCAGGAGGAGCAGACGCCAGGAAATAATCAAATTGAGGGCTGAAATCAATCAAGTAGAAACCAGAAAAACACTGAAACAATGAAACAAAGAGTTGGTTCTTTGAGAAAATCAACAAAATAGACAAACCTCTGTCCAAACTAACCAAAAGACAGAGAGAGCATGCTAATTAACAAAATCAGGGATGAAAAAGGGGACATAACAACAGACTCTGAGGAAATCAAGAGAATCATCAGGGGATACTTTGAAAATCTGTACTCCACAAAATTTGAAAATTTAAAGGAAATGGACAATTTCCTGGATAGATATCACTTGCCAAAACTAAATCAAGAACAGATAAACAATCTAAACAGACCTATAACCCCTAATGAAATAGAAGCAGTCATCAAAAGTCTCCCAAACAAAAAAAGCCCAGGCCCAGATGACTTCAGTGCAGAATTCTACCCGAAATTCAAAGAAGAGCTAATTCCAATACTCCTCAAAGTATTCAACACAATAGAAGCAGGAGGCTTACTGCCAAACTCTTTCTACGAGGCTACAATTACCTTGATACCCAAGCCACACAAAGACACAACTAAGAAAGAGAACTATAGACCAATTTCCCTCATGAACATTGATGCAAAAATACTCAATAAAATGCTCACAAACTGGATTCAAGAACACATCAGAAAAATCATCCACCATGATCAAGTAGGCTTCATTCCAGGAATGCAGGGATGGTTCAACATTAGAAAATCTATCAATGTAATCCACCATATTAACAATCTGCGAAAGAAAAACCACATGATCATCTCACTAGATGCTGAAAAAGCCTTTGACAAAATCCAGCACCCCTTCATGATAAAGGTCCTAGAGAGATCAGGGATAACAGGAACGTACCTGAATATAATAAAGCAATATACAGTAAACCAACAGCTAACATCAAACTAAATGGAGAGAAACTCAAAGCAATTCCTCTAAAATCAGGAACAAGACAAGGCTGTCCACTCTCTCCATATCTCTTCAATATTGTACTTGAAGTTCTAGCTACAGCAATAAGACAACAAAAGGAGATAAAGGGGATACAAATAGGAAAAGAAGAAGTCAAACTTTCACTATTTGCAGATGATACGATAGTTTACATAAGTGACCCAAAAAACTCCGCAAGATTACTCCTAGAGCTGATAAACACCTTCAGCAATGTGGCAGGATACAAAGTAAACTCAAAAAAATCAGTGGCCCTATTATATACAGAGGATGAAGTGACTGAGAAAGAAATCAGAGAAACATCACCTTTTAAAATAGCCAAAAACAGCATCAAATATCTGGGGATAATGTTAACCAAGGAAGTGAAAGACCTGTATATCAAGAATTTTGTTTCTTTAAAGAAAGAAATCAAAGAAGATACCAGAAAATGGAAAGATCTCCCATGCTCTTGGATTGGTAGGATCAACATGATAAAAATGGCAATCTTGCCAAAAGCAGTCTATAGATTCAATGCAATCCCTATCAAAATTCCATCACAATTCTTCAAGGACCTGGAAAGAACGTTAATCAACTTTATATGGAAAAACAAAAGTCCCAGGATAGCCAAAACATCCCTATACAATAAAGGAACTTCAGGAGGCATCACCATACCTGACTTCAAGCCCTATTATAGAGCTATAGTCCTGAAAACAGTTTGGTATTGGCACAAAAATAGGAAGGTAGACCAATGGAACCGAATTGAAAGCCCTAATTTTAACCCACACACCTATGAACACTTGATTTTTGACAAAGAAGCTAAAACTGTACAATGGAAAAAAGAAACCATCTTCAACAAATGGTGCTGGCATAACTGGGTACTGGTATGCAGAAGACTGCAGATAGATCCATGTTTATTGTCTTGTACAAAACTTAAGTCCAAATGGATCAAAGATCTCAACATAAATCCAGCCACACTAAAACTTTTAGAAGAGAAAGTGGGAGATACTCTTCAACAAGTTGGTACAGGAGACCACTTCCTAAACATAACACCAGTGGCACAGACACTGAGATCGACAATAACAAATGGGACCTTCTGAAACTAAAAAGCTTCTGTAAGGCAAAGGACACAGTCAAAAAGACAAAAAGGCAGGCCACAGAATGGGAAAAGATACTCACTAACCCTACATCTGACAGAGGGCTAATCTCTAAAATTTACAAAGAACTCAAGAAACAAGTCTCCAAAACACCAAAGGATCCACTTGAAAGGTGGGGTACACAGCCAAATAGAGAATTCTCAGTAGAGGAGGCTAAAATGGCCAAGAGACACTTAAGAAAGTGCTCAACATCCTTAGCCATCAGGGAAATGCAAATCAAAACAACTCTGAGATACCATCTTACTCCTGTCAGAATGGCTAGAATCAAAAACACCGAAGACAATTTATGCTGGAGAGGATGTGGAGAGAGAGGAACACTCCTCCACTGCTGGTGGGAGTGCCGACTCATACAGCCTCTTTGGAAATCAGTATGGAGATTCCTCAGGAAAATGGGAATTAATCTACCACTAGACCCAGCAATTCCACTCTTAGGCATTTATCCAAATGAGGCAGGTTCATACAACAAGGGCATCTGCTCCACTATGTTCATAGCAGCATTGTTTGTAATAGCCAGAACCTGGAAGCAACCTAGATGCCCCTCAACTGAAGAGTGGATAGAGAAAATGTGGTACATTTACACAATGGAGTATTACTCAGCAGAAAAAACAATGGAATCTTGAAATTTGCAGGGAAATGGATAGCACTGGAAGAAACCATACTGAGTGAGGTAACCCAGTCGCAAAAAGACAAACATGGTATGTACTCACTCATATATGGATTTTAGACATGGATCAGGATAGTGCCAGTCTGCACTTCCACAGATAGAGAGTCTGGGAAACAGGAAAGAACCTAAAAGATATGCATATATGCATAGTACCCAAGAGAAGAGGATGGAGACAAGATCCTCTGAATGGATGGGGAACATGGCGAGGGGTGGGGAGGAGTGGGACCTGGGAAGAAGAGAGGGGGTGAAGAGGAAGGGAGTTGGTCATGGGGGAACAGGAAGTTGAGGGGGTGGGGGTAGAATAGGGGGAAGAGTGAATCATATGTTGGAAGACAGATCAGGCACCAGAGTGACCTCGAGTGATCTAAAGGGATAACACCAATTGGCAAGCTAAGCAATAGTGTAGGGACCACCTCGAATGCCCATCCCTGATAATGAACTTGATGTCTATAACCATCCGGGAGCCTTCATCCTGTGACTGATGGAAGCAGAGGCAAACACACAATTAATCACTGAACTGAACCCAAGGAACCCAGTGACAGAGAGAGAGGAGTGATGAGCAAATTGGCAAAGAATGGGCTGGCAAAACCAGCAGAGACAGCTGATCTGAACAGGGGAGAGCTCTTGGACCCCAGATCGACAGTGGGGAGGCCAGCATGGGACTGATCTGGATCCCCCAAATGTGAGTGTCAGTGAGAAGGCCTGGACAACCTATGGGGCCCTGTGCTGTGGATCAGTGTCTATCCCTGGTATACAAACTGTCTTCGTGTGCCTATAGCACAAAGAGGGATGCTCTCTCAGCCTGGACTCTTGGGGGAGTGCCTGGACCCTACCAAGAGTAAAATGACAGACTCTAGATATCCCCTATGGGGAAGGGTTTGGCAATAGGGTGGGAAGGAGGGGGGAAGGGGAGTGTGGGAGGAGGGGAGGGAGAGGGAACTGGATTGACATGTAAAACAAGCTATTTAAAATTAAAATAAAAAAATCATAAAAAAGGTTCACGTGGATTCAAATGGCTGCCCCCCAAAATATCACAAGGAACTTTGGGGCAAAAGAAACTGTGAAGTGAGAAAGAAGATGAGATAAAGTTGAAGAAAATGTGGCAATTATAGTCGTGTGGGTGTCTTGAAGATACTTCCATTAGAAGAGTGGAAAATAGCACATTCTGATACAGAGAGAAATGATTCTAAATAGAAATAATTGTCTGCTGCATGTTATAATAAGACAACATATTATTACTTGTTAATTAACAAGCACCTACAATTACTTTCTTCTTTTATTGCTGCCTTTTGCTTTTTAAAATTCTTTTATTTCTCCCCTTCTCTTTCCTCCCTCCAAACCATCTCATAGGCTCCCCCCTACTCCCCTTGAAATTCTTTAGTAAATTTTACAGCATTCATGTATGGATATGCGTATATGGGTATATTCCTGAATATAACCTGCTCAGTCTGTATAATGCTACCTGAATACATGTTTTCAGCAAGGACCATTTGACAGAGGACAACCAATTGTAGTGCTCATCCCTGAAGAAGATTACTACTCCTGCTCCCAGCTTTCCTGGGTTGCTTATAGTTCTTCGTGTAGGCCTGAGGCCTTGTGGAGTTTTCTTTGTCCAGTTGGCATGTTCTTTGGTGTTCTCCTTGTTCAGCTCACATGTGGGTAGTCATGTTGGTGAAACCCTATAAAAGTAGCCTCTGATATTCTAGAAGACACAGTCTCACAGCAAACTGGCTCTTACAATCTTTCCACCTCTCCTCACCCCCATGTCTGCAATGTTCCTGAGACTTAGATATAGGATGTCACATAGATGTATCATTTGGGACTGGGCTATGAAACTCTGCATTTTGGTTGGTTGTGGTTTTCTGTAATGACTTCTGTATGTTACAAAGATAAGTTTCTTGGTGGTGGTGAGGGCCACACTCATTTGTGCTATAAGGACAAATATCAATAGGCTATTGCTAGCCATTATGTTCATTTAGTCAAGTAGTGGTTATAGATTCTACTCCAATAACCATAACTTCACTAGTACTGAGTAGTTAACATAACTTTTCAGTACCAGGCATGGCCTCCTTCTTGTTGAGTGAGTCTTAAATCCAGTTACAGAGATTTTGGCTACTGCCGGACTATGGTGTCATTACTGCATGTGTGTACACACCACACACACACACACACACACACACTCAAATTTAAAATATTTAAAAACTATGCTGGTGAAACTAAACAATCTTTTCAATTATGTTATTATAGAAAATAAAATGTAAGAAGATTTTTAAAGCAACATTTCCCAAATACACCTCCCAATTACAAACACCATAAGATATGCTGTAAAATAGGTACACAGTTTGAAATATTGCTTTCAAATAGATAGAGACAGACTAATCCAATCTCAGAAGAAACAGTCCATCACATTGCAGGGATGTCTCACTCCAAAACTGACATATCAAACAGAAATTTACGGTGACAAATACAGTCAGTATAGAATAGTTCAGGCTGCACGTGTTAGAATGTATTGTTGTAAGTATATCTGCTGCCTTCCCTGACAGCTCTTCCTTTCTTATGCCTTGCCTGATAGAAGTGGCAGCCAACTCGGCTCTACAGTATGCTATTTGGTTAAGGTGGTGTGACTAGAAGTATCATGGGGTGTTGTCTAGCATCCTCATGTTGTGAGAGCAGTTGCTCACACTGCCGGCTCTTCTTTTCCTTGTTTCAGCCTCATCTCAGACTCAGAGGATGGGCCATTTATCCTGGGCCCTGTGTAAAACTCTACTGCTGTGTGTATTACATAAACAAAGTGTGAGTCACTGCAATGTTGGGGACTACTATGGTGTAAACTGACACAAATTTATGAATGAAACCCAAGCAAATAGTCTCCCCAGTCTCAGGATTTACAAGTAAGTGTTCAGCACTTCTGTTCCATTTTTCTTGTATGCTTTGTTCTACAGGTTACATTTCAGGCAACCAGACTGAGAGAAGCCATATTGTCTATTGATATGGTTCTAAGATTTAAAGCCTGAGGTACCACAGAAACAGGAAAGAGCACAGAGGACTGGGTGCATGACCCGTTGTTAGTTTCCACTGGCTGAGTAAGGGGAGAGGGAATTAAACTCTTTCAAAGTGTCAAGGGTGGAGAGGCTGATGTAAAACTGAATATAGAAGTCACAGGATATTTTCCATAAACTCAATAGACACAGAATATATACATGTTCACATATACAAAGGGCATTTAAAGATGCAAATATGTACTAGAAAAAGTGGAAAATTGGAAAACACTGAATGTCATACATGGAAATTGGAAAATATTGATGAAATACATGCCAGACACTGGAAGAATATAGTAATGCGCAACTGAAGGCCCTCACTTAAAAGGAAAGTGTAGATGTCACAGTTTTAAGCATGCAAAGTTCATTTCATATAGCTAAATAATTTAATGTCAAATAAAAATGAAAATAAATACTTAAAAGTGAGCAATGAATATATTATAAAATTAGAAAAACAGAACTAAGACTATTACAAACTAAAACAAACTGTAATGAAAAATTTTGTGTAAAGTGATAAATCAGAATAATTTAATTTGAAAATCATAGTGAAATTGCATAGAAAAGAAGATGTAAGTACAATAAGAAAATTGATAGAAACAACTAAGCTTTAAAGACATAAATTCTTGTGAAATATATTCAAGGGATTAAAAAAATCATGGAATAGAAACAGATTTTAGTAGAGACCCAATACAGAAGAGTTCAAGGCACATCTAATAAAAAGTAAAATAGGTCGGGTGTTGGTGGTGCACACCTTTAATCTCAGCATTTGGAAGGCAGAGGCAGGCAGATCTCTGAGAGATTGAGGCCAGTCCGGTCTACAGAGCAAGTTCCAGGACAGCCTCCAAAACAATACAGAGAAACCCTGTCTCGAGAAACCAAAAAAAGAAAGTAGAATGGTGTTCATCTTGAGTGATGTGTATAAGATGAGTTTAAGTGGTACTAAAAGATTCTTTAGCTGAAAAAGGTCAAACATAATTTACAGATGAATTATGACTAGTAATACCAAAGAACTATGGATTAGGATAGTCCAGTTTTTATACATTGTCCTACACAACTGGGCCTTGTTTTAGTGTTATCCCAATAACCATAAGAAGTGGATTACTACTCATCTCATCCAACAAGTTCAAGTAACACTAATGCCAAAACAAATAAAATATCAAAGTGTAGATCAAGTGATTTAATATTCATTGCTGGTGACATAAACATCTATGATGTAACTTCAAAAGATTGAAGAACATTCCAGAGTTGTAACATGGTCTTTACATAATCAATGTATAAAATCCAGCAGCTCTTTTCACATTAAGAATTAATTCAAAATTTTGTCAAGGATTAAAAATATTCTGTTTATTGAAATTACAACAATCACAGTCTTAAAGCTAACCTAAGTCTTTAATACTTTTAGAAAAAGTATTGAGTGTTGAAAAAATTTAAAAATATTAAAAGGAAGGAAAAGAACCAAATCATTGCTCAATATTCAATATTATGATAACACTGACAATTAAAACCTGTTCAGAGATAAATTATTCAATAAATATTACCAGGTAAATTTATTGTAAAAACATACATCTGAGCATGCTATTAAAAACAATAACCTACAAGGACTAATAGGAAAAAAGTATATTAACTCTTATTGAAGGTAAGAGAACGAATCTTTGTGCCTCTTGCAGAATAGCTGTAAGCAAGTCATGGTATGCAAATGTCACAAAGGCAAGAAAGGAAAAACCTTTATATTCAAAAGAGGACTTTCTTCATGCTGATAACAATTGGGTTTTCACAGTGCCCTGACTCCTCATTCTCATTCGGGTGTCTTTAAATTTGTTCATTTGCTAGAAATTCATATGAAATACACACTGACATGCTATTTCAGCTGGGTTGGTGACCAACATTGACTGACTGTTTTCTCAATAAAGTTTTATTAGTACTTAGCCATCCCAATCATTATCCCTCCCCTAACACTAAAATATTTGGTCTCTGTTCCTATACAGAATTCCTGTCAGACTGTCAGTCATGTTACTATCTGCCTCATTTCTTCAATGTCGGGGAGTGTTAGGTTGGTTGGGATTTTTTTTAATTCATGTTCCTGGGAGGAATATGCTTAAATCAGAATTAGTTTAGTTAGTCACCATATATTTAATAGCTTTTGTGCATGGAAACAAGACATCATGGAGTCTGCTTGTGTAATCTTCCACTTATCACACACCCAAAATATAAAGAGGATTTGGTTTTCACTAATTCTTGGTCAAAACATTTCTCTCCCACTGGATATATACTTGTTAATATGGCATTTATAATTACAAATACACATACACACTCCCATACTAGGGGAAAAGGGAATTCAGTAAATTAAAACTTAGGAGAATTCTTCTGCTTGATAAGCTCAAATCTTTAACTGCGAGTTTATCTGTGATGGCAGCCTTACATTTCCCGAATGTAAATTTTCAGTAATGAAGTATATATTTTAACTAAGCAATTTATAAAAATGATTGACTTATAAATTTCTTTCTAGTCTGTGTAAAATGTTGCAAATTATGAAGAAATCATCAGGAGCTTATCCATGTGTTTTGTTTGTGATTCACTGATTTATTTTTATTATTTTAATTTTTAGCAGAATTGGTGGTCCACCCCAGGGCCTTGTATATGCAAGCAAAAGCTTTACTAATGAGCTATATGTCTGATGCTTGATTTTAAGAGACATGGTCAGGTGATGTTACTCAAGCTGGTGTGGAACTTACTGATAGTTTAAGTCATCCTCAAAAGAAAAATTCACTGTCTCAGCTTCCTAAGTGCTAGGATTAAAGACATGTGCCACGATACCTCAATTGTTGTGATTTCTTTTTGATTGCTTTATATCGACTTTTTTGTAATTGTAGTTTTTCTAAAAGGAATACTAAAAATTATATAGTTTTCATGTTTCATAAATCCTATATCTAATCCCTTAATTTTGAAAAAGGAAGTTTTAAAACAAATGGAAATTTTCAAAAACATTATTCATTTGTGCAACTGTACTACAATCAAAGTTTGAAACATTTGTTTTTGAACAAACATCCCAAACAGTAAAACAATAGTCCCTTTTATCTGTAGGTTGGTATGTTCCTGGAGTTTCAGTGACTGACTAGGGCAGGATGAAAATAAGCCCCATATATGGCTTTCCTGCATGCTTACCTATACAGATTGAACTATCTCCATCCTGTATTGTGTAATGCTTAGAACATTTGTGTGATGAGATGTGAATAAGGATGCCTGTATAATGTTGATTTTTCTCCTCACATATACTGACATGTAACCTTCTTCCCTACCTACCTCAACTTGCTTACAAAATAAAATATGTAAATAAAAAAAGATGTGAATAAGAAGTCATGTGGCCACAGATCTTCCCTCATTTATTGAAATCCATGAAGAACTTTAACCATAGGTTTGAAAAATGTAGAGAGAATGAGACAGCAGCCAAAGCTTAAGAAAGTATATTGGAAGTTTGCTTACATGAAGTTCTTATGGTTTGAACCACTTTGGACTGTGTTTTTCATTTCTTTTTGTTTGTGATAAGGTTAAAAACATTATTTGGATGTGCTTTTGTTTAGTTTTATTTCCTTATTGAGAACTTCATTTTTTTAACTCAAAGGAAGCACTTTGTGTCTTCTCATTGGCATATCCCAGTTGTCTGATTGATTGCTCTTCTACTTTTGGGAAATTTTAAGTATAAGTTACTTAAACACATGTATCATCACACCACCTATGTTGATAGCCACCATTAAGTGGGTAGCAAATAATGGCTTGAATACACTAGGCAAAAGGAATCTCAAGTAAGGTTGGGTAGAGTGAGAAGTTCTGAGATTTTTATCATGCCACTCAAAGTACATTTTCATATCACAGTTAAGTATGGATAACTGAAATTCCATGTATAATGGGCATTTACTGTGCTCTCTGGGACAACTAGGAATGAAATATCCTTAGACACAAGGGAATGAAGGATATTCATTGCTTTAAATCTCTGCTAATTAAACCCCTTTCTACAGGGAGAAGAACAGGTATGCCACGATTGGCTTACATTAATTGCTCTGAACAGTTAATTCTAAACAAACTACTTTTCTGACACATGAGGGAGAACAGTGAAATGAATATTTTGGAGAGCATTAAAAACAAACTGCGTGATGAACAAAGGATGCAAATGCAATTCCCCAAAATGAGATTGATCCAGCAGTCAACAGAAAACTGAAGATGAGCATAGAACTAATGGTTCATATGATTCTGCTGAGCTTAAAACTATCCATCATAACATTATAATTCACATATATTTTAAGTAAATAAAATGTAGTAACGGGAATTAACACATATGGTCAAGTGAAACTTGAACCTTTTGACTTGTTTTTCTTGCTTTCAGTAGTATGTATCTAAAGGGTATTTTGTAAAAAAACAAATGTAACTCCACAATATTTTGTTTTCTGTCATTTTTTGCATCATTTGACATTTAAGCCTTCTTTTTCCAGATGTGTGAACTCTGACAAATGACACAAACATTGTATTAATTGGGCCAGAGGCATAACTCCATTGATGAAGTGATTGTTGGACACATGTAAGAATGTTAATTTGGATTCTTACCAACTTCATATAGACATGGATGTGGCAGAGCTGAGGAGGCAGAGAATACAATATCGCCTGGGTTTGCTGGCCATAGACTCTATCCTATTAGTGAGGGACCTTGTCTCAAAAATATGATGGGGAATAACAGAGAAAGACAAAGACACTTCCAACATCACCCTTTGGCCTCCATAAACAATAGGTACAGGCTTTATCTCTCTCTCCTGCCTGCCCACCATCATGTAAGCCACTAAAACTTCTATACTTAGTCACTAAATAGTTTCTGTCTTATATATAATGTAGCTCATACTGTGGTTGCTATTTCATTCTTTCTTTTCTTTTGAATTTTTTGTATCCTCCTTCAACTTTCCCCCCACCTCTACATTTTCTGTTGTTTGCCATGCTTCATCTGGTGTTCATAGTTAGCAAGCAGGGTGCTATTATATAGACTTTGTTTATTGTCTTGTGTCCTCTCACACATTAGCCATTGCTATTTTGTACAGTCCAGCATTTTTGTATTGTCTAAATATTTGTTATTAGTGTTGCTTTCCATTCATGTTTAATGATTGCCTTTTATCTGAGTTCATCTGTTAACACATTCTTTTATGGTTCAATACAAATCTTCTTTGTTTCTAATGTTTTTAGATTTGTTTTATTTTTTGTTTATTAGTCATGTGCATGCCTGGTACCTAAGGAGGCAAGATGACACCACAGTGTTTCACTGTACACATGTATGAAACTGAAGTTGTGAAGAGAAAGAAATGGGAGGATAGGAAAGGGAATAGAGGGGAGGGAATAGGATGGATTTAATCCAGACATTATATGCATACATGAATATTAAATAATTATTTTTATGTTTGAAATTGCAGTATAGTTACACAATTTTTGAGAATAAAGAATTTTTAAAAATATTATTGCTACTTAATGCTCAGGGAACATTGTAAAAGAACGGCCAGAAATAGATTAAGAGCCCAGGAAATCTACTGTGAGGTTATTTATCTTAGAAATGACAGAGAAACATCATCTATGATATCTCAACAATATGGCTGCCTAAACAATACCTGAACAAGTTCAAGGACAATAGACATGCTAACATGTAAAGGAGACAGTCTCACAGGGACCCACCCCAATGAAAGAACCATGGCAACTAAGGAATGCTCAGAGTAGAATAGTCTTCTCCAGAGATAAGCCCTGTATTGCCTATCCAATACCAACTGGTCAACCCTGAAGTCATACACACACAAGTAACACTAAATACACCGTGCAAGTTTATTTATATATACTTATGTATTATTAAATCAAAATCTCATTTAATAATCTCAGTTGCCATTGCTGTTGGTTAAGGTGGTGGTTGGAATGGATTTTATATATTGGAGTGCTCATGATCCAGTCCTGCCTTAAATGTATCAAGGTTTTAGCTCATTGGAAAGACATTGCTTTGAGGAGAGAGCTTCTGATTCCAGAGAATCATATAAAGAAATGTTTTTGGCCATTCAGACACTCAGTGATCATTGCAGCCATGTACAAAGGAAAACAGACTACTGTTTCAGCTGCTCGGTTTACAGATTTGTAGGCTAAAAGATTGACAGAGTCATGGAACTTCCACCTGGGTTTCAAGAGAAGACATATATACCTCAGTGTTGTGTTCTCTGTAGGAAGACCTTGAAAAGATGATGAACAAAGCAAGCTGGGTAAATCCTAAGATGCATTTAGAAACCTAAGGAAATTAGACACCACATATCAGGAAGAAAGACATTCCACAGGCCAGGAGCAGAAATATGAAAAGTCAGGGGCATAGGATGGGCTACCCAAATCTTTGGAGCTCGCATCACCTGACCATATGACCCAGATGCCAGACCAGCATCTACAGGCATCAGTGCTGCTCTGCTGAGCATTGGTCCTACTCTATCTATGGCACCATTCCTCTCCTTTGAAATGAGAATGCCTATTCTATGCCACTGTGTCCTGGAAGTATATAGTTTACTCTTATAGTTACAAGATATTACAGCCTAAAGTTGAAATGCCTCCCACAAGCTCAGATGTTTTAACAATTACTTCCCATCTTGTGACACTCTTTCAGGAGCTACACAGTCCATAGGGCACAGCAGAAGGAACTATGATACTGGGGTGTCTCATTAGGCATCTATTATCCCTAACTGCTTCTTGTCCATGTTCTATTTCCCACAAGAACCTGCTCCTTCTATGATGTGTCCTTTGAAACTATCTATAATCCTTCCTCTCTTAATACTTTTGTTAGTATTCGGGCACAGAAACAAACAATTGAACTAAAACACAAGGCTCCCATATAATTGCAAGTATATGTAAACAAACTCTTCAAGAAATTTGGGCCTGAGAGCACATTTAGCTTAACGAAGTATTTCTATTTCTGTGACTGAGAGCTTAGGGAATGCATCTAGAATTTGGGAGTAGAGATTCTGTTTCTTCCTTATATTCAGTCATTTGTCTACACTGATAAAATGGACTAACACTTCTATATCTAGTGTATATCTCAGAGCTTTTGAGTAACTTGATGGAGATATATGATATTGACATTGCCCCCATTGTTAGGCTTCTGTGATTCTCAACACAGGCCACTCCATACAGGATCAATTTAATGGGAAATGCCCATGTACATGAGTGTGGAAGTGTGAGAGAAGAAAGAGTATAGCTGACAAGTTGAAATGGCTCCTTCACATCATGGTATAGTGAAGTTAGTCTTGAGAAAGTTTTTGTTGTTGTTCTCATTGTTGCTACTACTGCTCTATTGTATATGGGATAAGAACAACAGAGAAGATACAGGAGAAAAGACAGACAATCAAAGACTCCAGAAAACAGCCACTAAGACATAGGGTTTGAAGATTCTTCCAAGGGTGAAAAGAGTATTATTGTCTGTTATAACATCCCTAATAAGTCCCTCACAATGAGATAGATGGACAGACCTGTAGAAGACAGGACTCAAAAAGAGGTCATTCTGCAGTGTCTTCAAGCACATATGAAGTGAGAGACAGGACACTCATAAGACTAAATTGAAACAAAGGCCCGGCGGTGGTGGCGCACGCCTTTAATCCCAGCACTCGGGAGGCAGAGGCAGGAGGATCTCTGTAAGTTCAAGGCCGGGATGGACTAACAGCCTCCAAAACAATACAGAGAAACCCTGTCTCATAAAACCAAAACCAAAACAAAACAAAAACAAAAACAAAACAAAAAAATTGAAACAAAGACCAGAGCCCTCCAAGTTAAGATTCCCCTGGTCTTCTAGAGCCCCTGGAGAGTCAGGGCAATCCCAAATATGGAAAATTAATAGGAAATTCTAGTTCTGCAGAAAACTTGTATTTGATAGCATACTGCATATTATTGGGGTTTACATTCATACCCTTCCACCTCTGACAGAAAGGAATCTCTTCCACAGTACCAGGATGCCCAGAAGAGACTGGCTTTGAACATACAACTGGTTAGCAGTATGCCTCCCTCCCCATTGCCCCTCTGTTTTCATTTCAGCACTTTCACTGCCTGACATTCTTGGTAATCAACAATCTGCCATCCCCAGAGTAGAAGGTAAGTGACAGGAAGCTGAGGGCTTTTGTCCACTTGATCAACTGGGTTTTCCTTAGTGACTGAAAAACTGGCAGCCCGGGAACCACTGCTTAGCAAAAGGCTTGATGGGTGAATGAGTGAACGAGTTTGCAGCAGCAGAGCACTAGCGTTGATGAAACGAGGGGAGCGCTGCCTTTGTTTTCCAGACAAATAAAATCCCAAAGCTAGTCTTAGGCGTGAGAAGCAGGGTTTATGTCTCTTGCATCAATTGATGTGAATACAATAAAATTCCTCAGAGGTATAAAAACACAAATAAAGAACACAAAGCCAACCTGACTTTCCATTTCTCCTCTTCATGTTGTTAGCATAGTAAATTTCCTGTCGTCGTGATCATGAAACAGTGAGAAAGAAAGGGCAAAATCCCAGTCCAAATAAACAAATATAAACAACCAACCGAACTTTTACTTCTCTCTATGGTGTGTCAAGCTAAATTGGACACTGTGTATTATTTTAATTAAAAATAATCCTCTTGAGTAGGAATGGGAAATAAAAGAAAATGTAATCACTGGGCAACCTGCATATTACTTTAAATAATATTTCTGGAGTCTTTTGCTGCTAGCATATGCTAGTTGCTAATAGCCCCTTATTTCAGGGAAAATTACTCCTTGCCATTTGCTTAATTTGCTATATAGCATGCATTGACTTATTTAGATCTAATGACTTTTGGCAGAACATGAACTTTGAACTTCTTCCAGTTACATTATTAATGCTTCCTATGTGGTTAGTTTATCTTTAAGAAAAACATACCGCTATTTTTATCTAGCACATTTTTGCTATGTGGTATGCACATGATAAGTACTTATTCACACAGATAAATTTAGAGAAAATTGTTTTCTACCTAATTTTATATTTGCAGGTAATTAACTACTGTGCGATTTCAGTCCACTATTATTCTCAGACATCTGCTGAAAACAGTTATCCCCCCACAAAAAAAATCATTGGCATTCTGTTAATTGGTTCTACTTTTAAGAAAAATTCTAAACCCACAGTTCTGAATTATGAGGTCTCTAAAACTCGAGGGCTGTACATTTTAAGCTTCACTGAACACTGGAGGAGAAAGGAAAAGGCAATAATTGCCCATGAAAAACATTCTAAATCAAGTTCCTAAGATTTCAGAAGATGGGAAATAAAATGATTATAAAATAGCTTCCCCATGTCTACTAAGGCATACCGGATTTAAAAAATCAAATAGCTTGAGAAGTATAATGCACCTAAGATCTCCGGGCTCACAATATCTCCATAAAAAAGCAATATACTATGAAGCAGATAAATCTATATTTTCCATTTTGTTTTTTTGCTGCAAGGTCATAGTTAATCAACAGATAAGAATGATCTAAATAAATAGGAAATGCTTTTTATTGAAAGGACTGAAGTGATGGAGTAAAATATGTTTATTATAGTTGTTTGTTATAAATTCCAGCAAATGTTATATCTTCCAGGGTTTTGTCCCATGGTTTGTTGCTGTCATTTTCAAAGTGAATGTCTTGAAATTATAGCCCTACTAAAGCTCTTCATATGAAGTTCAATCCAGAAGGAAGAACTAGAGGGAGGCTCTGGGAAGGTGTAATTGAGGATAGAGGATTCTCTCAGGCCCAGAACCATAGCTGTTTTCTGCTCCATCACCCAAATCATTACACTTTGCTTCAAGATTTACTTTGGAATAGTCTAAAATTTTAATAGTTGCTAATTATTTAATAACAAAACATAATGTACTTTGGTGAGTACAAAGCCAAAATAAGCAAGGTTTTTTAATAGTGCCAAAAACTTATCATCACCAGGTATAAAAGTATACAGCAGTTCCAAAGTGATGCTCTCCCATACAAAGGAAATGAAACATGGAATTTTGTTCAGAAAGTTCATTCAGACACTGGTTTGATTTAAATGTGATGGGCTACCTATACTCAATTTCCAGTCACAGGGGAGGAAGTACAGATTGTGGGCAGCAGTTTTGTTGCCTGTGATATTCATGCTTACATCACAGATGGTAGACCCCAAAGAGTACCATGCTGCTGGGCCACAGATAAAGCACAAGGAATGCCCTA